GAGCTAGGCAGTTGCCAATCTACCGGCATGCACGAGAGAGTTTCTGTCACAGGCAGGGTTCTTCTGGTAGGGAGTTCTAGCAGGCAGACATCTGTGTGTCATTATGACATGGTACCCATCCTCTTTATTACAGATGCTTAGGTTGGAGGGGTTGGCACCAGAGCCCCTGGACAGGGGTGTCCTCTGTGCTGTGACCCCTCCTCCCTGCACCGTGCCCTGCCTGGTGGCTGCCCTAGGGCCTGGGCAAGGCCACTGACACGGAACACTAGGAGCCTGCATTGAGGTTTGGCTGCCCACGTGTCCACCCCACCCTTCCCTCCTCCGCGCTCTGTCCTGCAGGGACTCAGGCCCTTCAGGCCAGCAGTCAGTCTCTGTCCTTTGCCAGCTACTCCTGCCAAAGGGAGTCTACTGGGAGGTGGTGGATCTCAGAGCTACCCTCTCTGCCTCTTCCCACCAACCATGAGCCACCCGCCACCCCTGCTGGCTGTGGCAGTTCAGGATGGGGCCTACTCCAGTGTCACTTGCACCCCTCCAGTTACAGGGGTGCAGCCGGCAGTGGTTATGTCTGTGCATGTCAGGCTCTGAATCCCACTTCCTCTCTACCTGGTCGGCAATTTCCCGACTTGTATCTCCGCTCCCCAGATTACATTCTTTTTTTTTCCATGCTTGAGACTGGCTTTGTTTACCTGAGTCCATCCTGGACGATTAAAAGCCTCTAAACAGGGATGCTTAATAGTGTCCCTGCTCCTAGCCCGTCTGAGGCAGGCTCTGGAAGAATAAATAGCATCCAGACATCTGACCCTGCAGGGAAGCAACCCCAGGAAGCCAGGTCTGACCGCCTGGCTCAGCACTGGCTTCTGCTTTACGGATGACTCCCCAGTCCCTGACTCCTGTAGCTTTAAAAGAAAGCAGAGCAGATGCCCTGGGCAGGCTTCCTTCCAGGAGTTAGAAAGCTGGGCTCCCGGCCTGGGGCTCAGGGGCTTCTCTGTGTTGATGTTATATAGAGGGACTAGGGAAACAACGGGAGAAAGATGGGAGTCCCTTGTCTCTCAGGAGCCAGGTCCAGATGGTGTCCTTCATTCCTACATGGGTGTGATCTAGACTACGGTTGCCCTTTTTCTGACTACTCCTTGTTCCCAAATGTCTAGAGCTATGCCCCTGGCAGCAAGCATAAATGCAGATGCCGTCTTCCTGGGGATGGAGGCCATTTTTCTCCTGGAAATAAACACCAGAAGAACCCGGGAGAGGCTGGGGGTGGGAGAGTTGTGTCCTCTCTAGGACGGAACGAGCTCCCTGGCCAAACGGCAGTCCACTGCCCTTTCAATTCACATGCCCGCCGGAAGAAGAAAATGATTGTGCTCCTCTGCCGGGGCTCACCTGGCTCTCCGTTGCTCACTTGGGATGGCTCGTTCCCACTGGAGCATGGGATTGGAAAACAAAAGTGGAAACAATCTTCTCCTCCATCAACCCCCCCCCCGCCCCACCTCCCGCAGGATTAATGCCTCAGCCATAAAGCGTTTACAAACTCTAAAGGAAGATAATAACTTTCCTTCTCACGGCCCAGGCACAAGGAGGTAATGCATGTTTCCAATAAACTGAAAATGTAACTCAAATAGTAGGTTTTATTTCACTTTAATCCGCCTGTGAGTTCACGTTAAAGGTAAGAGGAATCAGAGCCTTGCAATGTGAACCTGGTTCATTAAAATCAGCATCTCCTCCTCGGGCTCAGCTCCTCCCCCAGGTCTTAGCTAGATGGATGGGCTGGGGCACCAGAGGGTGACTGTGACCCAGAGGCCAATGGATGGAGTAGGGGGCAGGTGTCCCAGCTCGGTCTGGTTTCTGGGCAGCAGACACAGTGGGGAACCTTCTAGAGCTTGCTTCCGACACTTCACAGCTGATGGTAGTCTGGTGGTGCAGGGTCATTATAGAAATGATTCTCTGTCCAGGCCCTCAGCTTACCAGTCAGTCGCTGGGAGGCCTGAATCTGGACCCCTCAACTAAGGCTTTCTTTACACGTTTATGGAGTGACTACTCCCTCGATGCCCTGCTGATGCTCCATTGATGCTCCCTCAGTGCTCTGCTGGTGCTCCCTGGATACCCTGCTGGTGCTCCATTGGTGTTCCCTGGATGCCCCGCTGGTGATCCCTAGGTGTCCTGCTGATGCTCCCTGGATACCCTGCTGGTGCTCCATTGGTGCTCCCTCAGTGCCCTGCTGGTGCTCCCTCAATGCCCTGCTGGTGCTCCATTGGTGCTCCCTCAATGCCCTGCTGGTGCTCCCTGGACACCCTGCTGGTGCTCCATTGGTGCTCCCTGGATGCCCCGCTGGTGCTCCCTCGGTGCTCTGCTGGCAGAACTGACTGCCGTTCCTTTGACTCCCAACGAGTATTCTTCCAGGGGAAGAACTGTCCTGTCCAGGCCTCTAGCAGGGTCTCCTCCTGGTGCCCTGTGGCCTCAGGCAGTCCCAGTGTGTGCAGACGGCAGGCTGGCACAGCCAGGTGGGTGATGCTGTTTCGTGCCTGGAGGGAGGGAGGGGCAGAGAGAGGAGATTCGGTGGGTAACTGGCCCGGACGCAGCTGACTCCTGGCCACCATTGCTCAGAGCTCGTCTGGGGTCTCCTGGGGGGGGGGCGTCCCCTTGCACCACTATTGGAGGCCGGAAGTGCTGGCGAGAGGGAGCGTCACCATGACGGCCACCAGTCACCGTACAAAAATCCCCAAACCCAGGTTCCGCCCGAGTTGGGGTACAAAGGCTAGAGTAGAAAGAGGAAGGAAACACCCCACCATGTTCTGTTCCCTGAGGCAGGAAAGGAACCGGCAGCCCTGTCTTGTCCTCCCAGACTCTCTGGCCTTCTTGACCTCACGGTTACCTAGCTTCTTCCACGGTGGCCCTCCAATTGCTGCTGTCTGCTTTGTGAGCTTGGCCTCGGACCTTCATCACCGTTGACCTGACATCCTCTGTGGCCCCATCCTGTGCAACATCCAACGGCCTTGAGCAGAGTCAGCTTGGGGAGACTCACATGGAAGTGAAGCACCCGCCCATGAGGGTTAAACAGCCTCCGCAGGCAGGGCAGGGGACGACTTCGGAACTTCCAGACATCGTCTCCGGAACTGCAGCGTTCTGAGGCTCACACAATCACAAGTGATGTATCTACTTACGGCAGGTGTATTTGCAGCATGTGTGTGTGTGCGTGTAATTGAGCTCACGGGACCACGCATGCTCAGCCTGTTCCACTGAATCGGCCCTCCTGAACACCTACTGTGTGCCACAGACAAATTTGCATCCAGTGCCTCATGTGACTTCTACAGTGACTCTAATATAGGACTCAACGGGTCCAAATTGTCGCTCAGACAGCTTGAAACGACCTGTGTTCTGCGCATACAGGTGTTTGTGTGTCTGTCTGCCTCCATGCGCTCACCCCCGTGGCCACAATGGCTGCCCTGCCGGGAGAGGGGAGCTTAGAACATTGATAAGAGAGGGTTAGAAAGGACCTTGTGTAAGCAAGATGGTCAAATGTACAAGCCAGGGGTTTGAAGTCAACCGACAAACTTCAAGTGATAGCGGAGTGGTATGGGGCCTTGAATCTGATGGTTTGAGTTATGTTTTCTGAGAGAAGGGGACTCTAGTAGAGTTTGCTGTCTTGAAGGCTTGGCACGAGCCCGGTGTGGTTGGTGTACACTTGTGACGGAAGCTCTTGGGAGGCAGATGTGGGACAGTGAGTGCAGGGATACTCTGAGACTCACAGTGAGACTTTGTCTAAAAAAAAAAATAATAAAACTTAAAAAAAAAAACCAGAGAGAAAGAGGAGGAGGAAGAAACGTTCCCGGGGGAGACTTTGTGAAACAAGCCAGATGTTTCCTGGCTCTTCCCTTTCCTGTGTCTGGCCTGTCATCTTCGAGTCTACTTTTCACTGTGAGGACCTCACAGACACTTCACCCAAAATACGCCAACCACACAGTCCCCCATGGAGGAAGCACACTACTCTTATCTCAGGGACCCTTAGCAGGGGTGGGCTCCCGCCTTCCTGGAGGGGAGAGGATGGAGTCCGGCATCAGCAGCCGTGGCCTGTTCTAAAAGTCCTTCAGAGGCACAAGGAGCTGCATCCAGAGACCCTGGTGCCTTCAGCCTCAGGTGACCTTGCACTGTCTCTAGGCGTGGCTTCTCAAGCTCTGTCTGTGGACAGCTGCTCTGTAACGCACAATGTGGACAGCCAAGAATGTCCCAGGGACCTGCGACTCCTTCATTAGGGGTTTCAGAGCAACCCTGAGCAGTGGACGGCATCTGTCTGAACCGCCACAGTTCTTCTCCGGTGCCCACAGCCTCTCTTGTTCTACAAGCCTAGATCTCCTGCTACAAAAGCACCTAATGCCGCCTCTTCCCTGAACAAAACCCTTAGTCACAGAGCCCTGGAGGCCCGGGGCTCTGCAGCCAGATCGCTGGGGCTGAGTCGCCCCAAGCCCCACGTTTGTGATAAGCCTTCAGATGTGCATATTTCAGCCTCCCCGTCTTCGGTGTCTGGATGGCTGGCCTTTCCTGAGTGCCTTCTGTGTGCCAGGCATGGCACGATGCCTCCTGACATCCTATCACCTGTTCTGGCAGATAGGTGTGCTTATCTTCCTGGCTTTCCAGAGGGAGAATTAGAGAGCAAGACAAGGGAAGTCACTTGCCCAAGGTCACCCAGCTCACAAATGGCACGGCCCTGGCTTGATAGTTAATCTTCTCTCACCTTCTGTTGCCTGTGAGCTGGGGCTTGAGATCAGTGTCTATCTAGCGAGGACTGGATGGTAGCGGCAGCCGCCTGGGCTCTCAAGGGCTTATTACACTTGCTTAGCAGAGGGATAAGAACACACAGTATTAACTTCAAATCTACCTAACGATCGGGTAAATCTCAAACACAACCAGAGAGGAGACACACTCCCAACAGCGGTGATGAAAATACCTAAGTCATTTTTTTCCCGGAACGCTTATCTCTCCTGAGGCCCAGCAAGCTGCAGGGAGACAGATTTTATTGGCTTTGTTTATTCCTGGATCCTGAGACTTGATGTACATTTGGCAAGAGGAGGGTGTCTGGGTCAGGGTCATCAATTTTAGGGAGGAACTGCTTTGAGAGTCTTGGGGATCAACCACAGCACCACCAGCATTCTCCCAGGTAGGCCATGCTCTCCTCCATTCTCCCAGGTAGGCTATGCTCTCCTCCATTCTCCCAGGTAGGCCATGCTCTCCTCCATTCTCCCAGGTAGGCCATGCTCTCCTCCATTCTCCCAGGTAGGCCATGCTCTCCTCCATTATCTTGTGTCTGCGATCTGAGGGCACTCAGCTCATATTTCGTTGGAGGAGGACGCCCCCAGCATAGATGTGAGCAGGTCTTGTCCAGTGCTATTTTCCCTGAGGGGAGATGCTTGGGGCTGGGGAGCAGCACTGAGCCTCCTATAGTCCACCTGGGGCACAAAGGGGTAGGGAAGGAATGATACATGGCAGAGGTGTCGCAGATGCTGGGGTTATGAGTCAGGCTGCGGGCAGCACTGTGCCTTCTGTGGTTTGGGTGCCCTAATGCAGTGTTTGGGCTCATGGTGGTTACCTGAGTTGGTAGGGCTCTCCTGCCCTCACATGAATAAACATTATCTCTGAATGGCAGCCCCTATGCCCCCTTCTCTCTGAGAAAATTCTCCATCCTTGCCTGCCTGGCTCCTTAACAACCCCCACTCCCACAGGGAAGACAAGCCCTGGCAGGCATCGGCTTTCTCTAAGTGGGATAACTTGGGTTGGCTTCTGACCCAACCTTGCCCTCCAACCATGGAATTAGTCCTGAAAGAGCGTACTTTTCTCCAGGAAACAATCGTTCCCTGAAGACCTTTGCCCTCTGGCCAGCCAAGGCCTTGAACCAGAAGTGACAGAGAGTGGGAGAAGAGGAAGAGGAAGAGGAGAGGACGGGGAAGGGAAGGAGGAGAAGGAACAGCCAAGGAGGGAGCGCTAGCCTCTAACTCCTCCGCTGGAAGGCTTGAGCTCTGCCTGCGACCTTCCCAGTAAGGAGCCTACCGTCCCAATTTCCTCTCACACCTCTTCCAGGTTTCCCGCCCCCCAGCTCCACAAGACAACATGGTGTACATGTGGCCCATCTGGGATCCTACTGGGTATGCCAACTTAATGAAATACTTTCTGTTTATTAAACACAGGCTTTCCTAAGCCCCGGGTGCCTGTGGGTATTTGAAAGCTGAAGGTAACCCCTAGCTACCACAAATGTCATTTCTCCATGCGTCCTTGCATTCCTGCTGCAACCCTATGCATCTGCTCTCAAGCAACAAGTGAAATGAGCAACATAAAGTAACTCCTAGCCCGACAAGGGAGGAAATGGGTGGTGGGAGGGGGGATGCCGGGAGAGGCTCCCCAGAACCCCTCAGGGCCTCTATGAGTGTGTGAGGTTCCCATTACCCAGTGCCATGGAGGGCACTCCTGGGCTGCTCAAAGTTTACAGAACCAGTTCCCTGTGAGTGGGGTGGTCAGCAGGACTTGCATGTCAACTTTGTGTTCGACCTCGCAGGACGCGGCTCAACTATCTCAAACCCCATTTCAGCAAGGCTTGCTCTCAGCCAGCAGGGTCGGCAGGGTGCAGCCTCTGGGGGCTCTCTCCAGAGTTTTATTTCTGTTGCTCCTCCAGGGCTTGGCTGGAAACAGCTGTCTGAGTCCGGGAGGAGCCCTGGGGGGACCCCAAGAGATCATGAGTTGCCTCCCCCGAAGCAGGAGAAGTCTCTTTCTTAACAATGTTTTCCCATTCGTCGGTCTCCTGGGCCTTGGGTCTGTGAATCAGGGGCGAGGAGCTGAAACGGAAGTAGCAGACGAAGGCCTCAAGGGAGGCGCCCCCCTCGCTGCGGACTACCATCTGGATGCCAGAGAAGGAGATTCTGTTGACAACGCTGAGGGGGACCTGCTCCAGGTACCTCAGTGGCAGCCCATTGACCCACACACAGCTCCTGCGGGACAGCACCTTGAGGCAGAAGGCTAGCAGAGTGCTGCCTTTCTCCAGGTAGGGCTCCAAGGATAGGTGGTGTCGGGACAGCTGGGGCAGCTGCAGCTGGATGTGGGTGTCCTGCCCTCGCCCCACCAGCAGCCGACTGGTGTCATGCTGCAGCTGCGGTGGGACCTTGGCAAAGGCCACTGGGCCCAGTGTCGGGTGGTACAGGCTCACTTGCAGGACCGTGAGGGTACTCTCCATAGATGAGATCCTGGGGAAAATGTGACAAAGTCACACGTCTCACACACACACACACACACACACACACACCCCTCTGTGGTTTTCTGAGCCCAGATAAACCACTCACTTTGGGGATCCTGAGGCCACATCTTGTCAATGACAACCATGCCTAAATAGATGCAGTCATTGCCCAAGCCAGGATGGAGTGGAGTGTGGCGATTATGTTTATGATCTAATAAAGCTTGCCTGAAAATCAGAGCGGAGAGCCAAGTCACTAGTCAGCCACACACCTACGCCACTGGTTAGCCATAGAGGACAGGCAGTGGTGGCCACACCTTTGATCCCAACACTAAGGTTGACACGCCTTTAATCCCAGCACTAAAGAGAAATATAAGGCAGTCTGAGGTTTGGTGGAGAGCAGTGCAGTCTGCAGTCACTCTGAGGACAGGATCACCACCACCCCACCACCCTTTGGTCTGAGCCTTGGTAGAGATAAGAACTCACTAGTGGCTTGGCTTTTCTGATCTTCAGTTTGAACCCCAGTATCTGTCTCTGGGTTTTTATTATTTGTGCTACAGCAGAGGTTGACATTAGTGTTGAAACTCCATCTCTTCACACTGCAGCAGGACACATTGCCCATTCTTTCTGAGATGTACTAACAAAGGTTCTTCTAGGCAGGGGATAAGTCTTACCAGCTTACAAGGCAGAGCCCGATGGTCTGCAGGCCATTTGGAGACAGTCTGTCTCTGCTTTATAGGAACAGGAGTGCAGACACAAGCGAGAGGCTTTCTTGTATTCGGCAGGCACACACACACCCTCGCAGAGCCTGCCTTCGAGCCAGGTATCAATCCGGGTGCTGTGGTGAAGCAGAATGAGACAGGCCTTCACTCTTGGGGGCACCCCTCTTGATGGGGGAAAGACAGGGTGCTTCCAGATGTGGAGGTGTAGAGACACATAAGAGTCCCGCCCGTAGCAAAACATCTCAGCGCTTCCCTAGGCCAGGCACCATGTCTCCTGAACATCTGGGCAGAAGGCAGATCCTGGTGAGGACAGTGGGCATGGGGAGGGGGGGGAGCTGGTTCATTGCAGAACCCTCGGGGACTCCAGGAAATGTGCAGAAGGTCCCACATCTCCACCTCCAGGAACTCATCCTGCAATATCTGATGATGGGCACATGTGGGACTCGTCCTGTGGCAGCTGGCGGGCACACACGAGAAAGGCCTGCTGGGGTCTGCTTTGTTCCTGCCTGGCTTTGAAGAAGACTCCATCATGCCCATCACACCCACACGACCCAGGATTTGCCACTAGTTTCAGTGGGAACCAAGGGCTGAGTGGGGCTCAATGGTAATTCTCTGCTAAGAATGTTCATTTGTGGTGATATACTATTTGTGATTTAGTAAAGCTTGCCTGAGGGTTCAGGGTACAAAGCCAGCCACACAGTTAGCTGTAGAGACTAGGCAGTAGTGATACAGACCTTTAATCACAGGACCCGGGATTAAGAGGTAGACAGATCTCTGTGAGTTCAAGGCCACACTGCCTATACGAAATTGAAATTGATCCAGTCCTAAAATTAACAGCTCACACAAGGTGATCTCAGCATCTGGGATCACTCCTTTAATCCCAGCACTAGGGAAGTGGAGACAGGAGTGATATGTCTGGGCAGAGAAAGGAATATAAGGAGGAAGAGACAGGAACTGAGCTCTTTTTGCCTCTGAGGATTCTTGGAGACAGGATCGCCGTTTCAGCTGGGTAGAGGTAAGATCTACTGGCTTGGCTGCTTTGCCTCTCTGCTCCTCAGCTTGAAGCTTGAACCCCAATATCTGTCTCTGAGTTTCTATTTTTCATGTTACACTTGTTGCATCCTAGATTGTGTGTGAAACCATTGCTTAGTTCAATGGTGACCTTGTCTGTGTCCTCTAACCCATACCCCCTACATTTTCATTTCCACCCCCAGAGTTCTGTAGGGTCTTGTCCTTCTCAAGCTCCTCTCCTGTCTCCCTGAGGTCTCCCAGGGGCAGAGCGTGACCCATTATGTAGTCCAGATAGTACTTGTCCACAGCAAGTGTCTAGGGGGTGGGGCACATCTGCTGGGAAACAGGTAAGGAGAAATCACTTATAATGGGTGATAGTCAGTCAACTATAAGTGGGAACTTAAAGTCTGTGGGACGGGGAGCCTTGCTAGATTGCCACCCTTTTGCCTTGCTGCTTTTTGAATGTAGTATGTCAGTGGGGATCTAGTTGACAGTGGGGCCTAGGCTCCCTGGGGATGCTTATTCCCTTGCAGACAGACAGACACACTTTCGGCCACTGCCTTCTGACCCCAAAGAACAATTCTTCCTGAGGTAGGGTGCAGGTTGAGCCCAGGATTGAGGGCTGGGCACCAGTGCTCTCAGGTCTGTGGAGAGTACTACAACGCTCTCTCTGTAAGCATGGCTCTGCAACCTCTCTCTGTCTCTGTCTCTGTCTCTGTCTCTGTCTCTGTCTCTGTGTGTGTGTGTGTGTGTGCGCGCGCGCGCATGCGTGCATACTACTGAGCAGTCAAAGCTGGCGGAATCCCGCTCTCTGCCACAGCAGCACATCTGCAGAGGCTAACCTGCTCGTCTTGGATCCGGGTGGATTTGGGAGAAACGGAAACCCAGACCTCTTAATGCCCACCATGGCTAACAAACAGAATGATGCTGGCTCTGGCCAGGAGTCCTCCACTTAGCCCTTCCAGGCCTCCCTGGGGGCTCCAGACCCTCGGATCTCCACCTACCTTACTGCCGGCCGGGCGGGCAGATCATCGCTGCAGCTGTTTGCTCTCTGCAGGGAAGGGGCTGGGCTGCGGCAAGGCCTGTGTGGGCTCTCCCGCAGCTCAGGAACACACTGTGTCAGAGCACACGTCAGTTGAGTCCCTCTTCCCTTTTCCCTCGAGGAAAGAAATGAAAGTGTCGCTTTCCATTGCAGAAGTGGAACCCACTGACAGATCTGCGAAGCTGGGAGGGTCCTCTTGACAGTGGGGTTTCCTGGGTTCAGTGCTCTGAGCCTCTACTATTCCAACTCGAGACCACAGAATATTGACAACCGTCCTCTCCCCTCTGGGGGCAGAAGATTACTGGGCAAGGAGCTCCTAGATCATGATGTTTCTTTCAACTGGCAGGGGTTGGTTAATGGTGAATCTCCAGGGTCTCCCAGGAGCAAGTGAGACACAGGAAGGGAGATCATGGCCATCCATGAATAAGCCTCCTCCAGCACACACAGAAGATCATCCCTTTATTTGCTCCTATTTCTCCTCTTAAAATAATATATGAGACACTGTAGTTCTTAATAAACTTGCTTGGTGTGAGATACATCTCGTGCGAGACCTCCTGAGTCCACTTTCCTATCTCCTCTATTATCTGATCCCCTGGTCTTTTCTCTCAGGACTCTGTCACTGAAGAATGGCCTGCTGGTTCAGGTCAATGAAACAATAATGATGGCATTCTAAAATGACCTTCATTACGTATGCAATGTATATTTAAAATATATACATATCTCTGCATGCATTATTAAGGTCCATATAGGGGGGAGGGTTACATATAATTACAGTGTTCCAAATTCCTCCCAATTGTCCAGGATGCAGGGACATGAACTGAAAGTGGACATAATAATCTAAGGAAGCGTCGTCTAATTTCACATATAATCAGGAAACAATGTCTTTGAGACAAGGAGTAAAACACTCATGTAACTGGGAAAATTCCCTCCTGACAACTCTTGGTAACTGGCTGGCTGCTGCGCCCGCTGTGCAGCCTGTGTCTGAGAATGTGCGGAGGGTGTCAGAATTGATGACACAGAGACCCAACCATGGTGCAAAGAAAACTTCAAGAAGGCTTTTCAGAAGGCTCCTCAAGAAGGCTCTCTTTATTCTTACCCTGGCTGGTTATATATGCCCTGACATCAGAGGCAGCGGTGGGTGGGTCAGGAGGAGGGGGAAAAGTCAAGGTCAGGGTGTTCCCGTGGGCGAGCCCTCATCAGGAACTTATTGCTCTGGGCACCGTATTGTTTTTAGTAAACATTGTCTTACAGCTGCCTGCTCCCAGGCTGTTGGGGAAGTGGGCCTCCGACCAAGGTCTGTTGTTCCCACAGCTGGCTGTCTCTTCAGGGAACCTAGGGTCTCAATAGTAACCCAAGGAGTGGCATTAAGGATGTGGCAGGCATGCTAATTGCCCGGAGAGGGTGAAGAGCCTTGGGTAGGTTGGAAAGCTAGACTGGGCCTCAGGCTTATTGCCAGGACTGTGTCCCATTTGATGAGAACAGCCACCATCTTGGGTGGGTGGGTGGGTGGATAGAGGGATGGATGGATGGATGGATGGATGGATGGATGGATGGATGGATGGATGGATGACTAGAAGCTCAGTAGCCCCAGGAAGATACTTCAAGGGCTGCATACACACAGCAGGGCGAGTTGCTGGGCCATGGGGCTCACATGCTGCGGTCTTTGCCTACACAGGTCTCACAAGACAACCAAGCCCCTCTTTCCACATGAAAGAGCTCCTTCTCCGTGTTCCCATGTCTACCGGCCTTCTAGTTTACACAATACCTCAGTGATGCTCAGATATGCCTCCCTATCTGCATTTGGCTCAGTCCTGAGTTTCTTCTCTGGAGACAGGACGCCCACCCCTCTGCTGCAGTCACTCCTCAACAAGGATGTGGGCATGAGGCAGTTCACAGTCCCTGCATGGCGGAAACTAGGCTAAGAACACTTCCCACCGAGAAAGGGAAGTGAGACACCCAGGGCATTCATCTGGCAAGAGGAAGCTCTGCCCAAGTTCCATCTTCCGGACGTACTGGGAACTCTCTGGGTTTCTGGGGCTGGAGTGTGGAGACCACGCTTACTATCAGCGTCCTAGGTGGAAGGCAGGAGCCAAAGAGAGTAGGAAATGGAGGCGTAGCCTCTTGCCTCACTAGGAAGGTTCCCTCTTACTGGCCCAGCTCTGCCTGCGAACGACCGCCTGTGACTGACTGCTGGGCTTCTGGCATTGGACTCTAAGGAAACATTGTTTCGGTAAGAGCCATTTGGAGAGCCCAGAAACAAAGCAACCACTTCCCCAGACCTTCCCCTCAGGCTCCCATGCCCAGGCCCACTCTTGTCTGAGGCTTGCTCTTGCTCAGTCATTTAACAGTTGTGTGACCTCAAGTTGGGCATCCTGTCTGGACCTCAGTTTTCTGCTCCATCAGGAATGGGTAATTAGCGTTTTGTTTTGTTTTTTTTCCAGCCAGGTCCCACCACCCTTCTCAGTCCCAAAGAAACACACAGACGCTATATCAGTTATAAAAACTCTTTGCCGGTGACTAGGGCTTCTTATTAGCTAGTTTTTTTATTAATTAAAAAAACTAACCCGTTTTTATTAATGTGTGTATTTTTCGCGTGGTCTTGGCTTACCAGAGAATGTCCAGACCTGTTACTCCTTTGTGGCCTACATGGTGACTGTTTTGGCGGGTTCTCCCTGTTTACCTTTCCCAGGATTCTTCTCGTTTTCTCATCCCGCCTACCTTTTCTGTCTTATTGGCCAGACAGTGTTTCATTCGGCAACCAATAAGAGAAACACATATGCAGAAGGACATCAGTTGGCTGCAGCTGGGAGGGCTAACATGTGATAAGTGCCAGGCACAGTGATTTCTGCTAACTCAGCCTTAGCCCAACCTTTGGCTGAAGACCCAGAATATACCTCGAGAAGAAGGGTTATGAGGAGAGGCTGACACACACCAACCTTACATCCTCAAAAGGCCTCCATTAGGGATTAAAACAAGATAGGTTGGGAGTTCAACACCCACCACGTGGGAGCTTCACATGAGCCCCGTTTTAATCATAAATGCTGCATGCCTCTTTGCTGCTACCCATCTTACAGATGCGGAAGCTGAGGCTGGAGCAGTCAGGTGACTTGCTTGAGGTCATACACGTGGGTGGCATCACGCACGAAAGCTTGGTCCGTGAGGCTCCTGGACCTTACCAAGCTGCTACTTACACTCAGGTGTTCTCTGGAATTCAGCTGCCGGCCATTGAGCTAAGGATGCCTGGTTCCGGCTCCCTAGCCTACTTGGATGCCCTTGATGGGTTTTGTCTTGAGGACCTGCGGCAGCCCCCATAACCAGTGACCTGCTTTTTAAAGAAAACCGCCCCTCTGATGGCGAATGTCCTAATCTGGCTTCTGTCGCTGTGATGAGACACTGACAAAACCTCCTTGGGGAAGGAAGAAGTTTGTTTCATCTTACTTTTCCAGGTAACAGTCCATCCCTGAGGGAAGTCAGTGTAATGGAGGAATGCTCGCTCTCCGTGGCTCGCTCTCCGTGGCTCGCTCTCCGTGGCTCGCTCGGCTACCTTTCTAATACAACCTAAGAGCACCTGCCCAGGGTGGCCCTGCCCAGGGGGCTGGGCAAGCCATCCCACATCAATCATTAGTTAAGAAAATGCCCCACGTGTTGTAGAATGTTTGTACACTATGTAAAGATGTATTGTTGTGATTGGTATGATAAAAAGCTGAACGGCCAACAGCCAGGCAGGTGGGACTTCCGGGCAGAGAGAGAACTCTGGGAAGAAGAATGCAGAGTTGCCAGACAGACATGGAGGGAGAGCTGGGTGTGCAGTTTGGGGGCGAGGTAACGAACTACATGACAGAACACAGATTAAAAAAATATATATGGGTTAATTTAAGTTATAAGAACCTGTTAGGGAAAGGCCTAAGCCAAGGCCGAGCTTTCGGGATTAGTAATAAGTCTGTGTTGTTATTTGTGAACTGAGGCCACAGACTCGCCTACAGGCCGATCTAACTGGAAGCAACTCTGCAATCATTTCTCCAGGTGCCTCCAGTTCGTGTCAAGCTGACAAAAGAAAAAATAAATAAATAAATCAACACAGGGGGAGAGCCTGGTTTCTTTGTCTCCAGGTGTCAAGGGGGATCCCACTCTGTACTGAAGCCAGTACAGAGATAGAGCAGGGCTCAGGGCAGCAGGCCATGTGGAGCAGTGGTCAGAGACGCAGGAGGGAGGACACCTTAACATAATATCCCACAACCCTCCTTCCCTTCTCCCAGGATTCATTATCAAACACAACTTCACCGCTCTTCCCCATTCTTAATTTACACTAACTCTACTTTATGATGAACTCAGCAATGCCTGGAAGCATGACCGACGCCGGTGGCGAGGGGGGCTGGGTCGTGCAGAGCCGGAATCCGTGGAGCGCCATTAACCCCCATGTTTGACTCCCTTTGCCCCTGGGTTGCCCTGGTTTCTCTCAGGCTGCCTGAGAGCAGGGACTTGAGGGGGGGAGGAGGCCTCCCAATGCCCTGGCTTACATGCCCCCACCTCTGCCTTTACCCACAGCACCCCGATGAGCAAGGGACCACGGAGCAAGAAGGGAACCTCCGTCTGGGTGCCGTGGGCTAAGTAATGCACGATGAATGGTAAAGTATTTGCCTCATGGCTCAGGAGTCTCCAGGTCTATCAGCCTGACATTGGCATCTGGTAGGACATTTATGCTTTATCCTCACATGGGTGGACAGGAGAGCATGTCGGATCCAGGATGAGGGCCACGCTTCATCCTTTCAAAAAGGACTCCTGCGGTATCTGTCCCATGCTCTCTGGTAACCGTTAATCCATTCTGGAGAACAGGACCCATCATATTACTCTTTGTTGCATATGCACATGTATATGGTGTGAACACATATGTATTTCCACATCCACGAGTGCAGATACACACGTGTAGATCCGTGCACGTGGTTTGGTGGTCAAAGGTTCAAATGAGATGCCTGCCTTGATTGTTCTCTATCTGGTACACTGAGTCAGGCCTGTCACTTGAA